GAGAGGGAGGGGGAGGAAGAGGGAGAGGGAGGGAGCACGGGGGTGGGGTGGGGGGGTGGGGGGGTGGCTAGAGAGTGGCCTGGAGAGAAGAGAGCCCTGGCTGGGGCTGCCAGCGGAGGGCGGAGCAGCCTCCTGGCACTGGCCTAAAGCAGCCTCAGGACCCCCTCCCTCCCCGCAAGCCTGTTTCCCTGGAGCCCCGCCCCCTGGCTCTGCCCACCCTTGTCCTTGCTGGCCTCTGAGTGCCCTCAGACCCACCTTCTTTGTCCCTCTTCTTGCCAGTGCCATCCCGGTGTCCTCCGCAGGAGCACAGGGTGGGCAGACCAGAGGGACCTGCCTTGTCTCCCGTCCCACCCAGCCCTCCAGGATCAGGATCCGGGCCTCTGAGGCTCCTTGTCCTGTCAGCCCCTGGGGGACTTGCCAAGCTCCTGGGAATCAAGGGGAGATTCTCACCTGAGCTCGGTGGCACCACATCTTGATTTCCCTCCTGCCATGGATCCCACTTCCTGCCAGGAGAGGAGGAGTGACAGGCGGCTGTGTCACCTGAGGGCACATCATTTGATGGGAAAGCGCCTTTCCAGGGTAGGAAGGGCGGGAGTGCTGGGCTCCCTGGGCCACCCTCCCGAGGGGCTTTGACGGGGTCTGCAGGAGCCCTGCTGGGCTGGGGCTGGGCTGGGAGGAGCATGGGGGTCCAGAAGCATGGCCTACCTGGAGGAGCCAGAGCCAGAGCCGGCAGAGATCATCCCGGACAGGATCTCTAGGGGGTGTGCTATGGCCAGGAGGCACCATGGGGTCTGTGGGAGCAGCGGAGTCATTGTCACTGAGGGAGGTTCCTGGAATCCAAGGCCTCGACACGCCCAAGTTCATGACCAGGAAGACTGGGCTCCCGATGCACCACTCTGGCACGGCACGTGCCCAGCCCTGGCGGGGCACAGCGTCATGAAGAGTGTTTGCCGACAAACACGGTCACTTCTGATGTTGTCACCCTGACAGCTGAGTTCAAGGCCATTTCTGAACTGCCGTCAGGTCCCCCCTCAGCTGAGCAGTGCTCTACTACAGAAGGACTCGGGGCATGAGGAGGTCTCCAGGAGCAGGCGGAGTCTCACCTGCTGGTCCTGCACTGCAGGGACTGAATGTCCAGGGTCTGCAGACTCCAGGTCTTCAGGGGAGTGTCCAGGGCCACCTGGGCAGGTTCAGACAGGTCCCAGAACCGCCTTCTCAGAGGTGTCCCTCACTCTAGGGCAGTGCAAGGGCCTGTCTTGCCTGGGAACCCAGCCCCCCCACCCCTCCCCAGCGCCCCACCTTGCCTGCCAAGGGCTTCCACAGCACCAGTCCCCGCTGCTCGGAGCCCTCCTGGGCCCCTGGGTGGGGTAAGGAGGTCCTCCTAACCTTCCCCTCTTGCGCTTGGGGCCCCACTGTCTCTGCTCCTGAGGTCCTCCTGGCCCACAGCCCCTGCTCGGCCTCGGCCCTGACATTCTAGTTCTGGCACAGGTGGGGCTTGTCCTGGCTGCCTAGGAAGGTTGGCAGCCCCCCAGCCCCTCCTGGCTCAGCAGCTGCCCCCAGACCTGCGTGAGCCCCTGGCTGGGCACATCCGGGGCTTCCTCTACAAGCACCCCCAGTGGCCAGGGCAGCTCTCACCCCTCCCTGTCCCCGCCCTCTATCCACCCTTCCTTGTCCTCCTCCTCTTCCTCTCTGCTCCCTCATGTTGCCTGGCATCCTGGGAACTCCAAATGTCTGGGGGGCATTCTGCAGTGGTGGGCTTTCTGGCTTTGCAGCAACTGGTCTTAAGGCCTGGCACTTGTACCCTGATCTCCTCAAACCCCATTCTGCAGCAGCCCTGGTGACAAAGAAAAGTTGGCGTCACCCACCTGGCAAGTGAGGGGGTGGCAGGCAGTCCCCAGGCCTCCCAGCCCTGAACCTCTTCTATTTATAACCCAAGCCCTGCGTCGGCAATTGCTATTCAGCTCAGGGGAGGCTGTGAAATAAAATTGTATAACAGAATTTATTCTTCCCAGTCCTCCTATTAAATCTCACCTCAGAACCTGCTCCCCAGCCAGGGGACCCCCGCGTCTCCTCGGGGCAGGCTCACCAGGACTGCCACCTGCTCAGTGCCTCCAGCTGCCAACCCGGCTCACGTCTGCGCCAGGGAGTTCAGATCTGCCTGTCCTTAGGGCGGCCATGGGAAGCTGGGTCCCCGGCTCTGGCAGGAGACTCCAAGGACCCTGAGGCTTTGGAAGCAGGAGGGGCACGGGCTGCAGCGGGCACGGCAGGCAACTGGCCCTGGAAGTGACCAGGGCCATTCAAGGTCCCAGTCCTCCAACCTCTACCCTGTCTACTCCCATGGTGTGCCCTTGCACAGGAGCTGCCCTCCTTGTGCCCCACGAGGACCAGCCCCAGGGCCTGGGCAGCTCAGGCTCCCAGTGCTTCCCCTGCCCTCCCCCAGCCCGAACCCCAGGGTCCTGGCCATCCAGGGTGGTCATGGGCTTTGCCTCCGCGGGGTGGACAGCGGGTGTTCAGCAGATGCCTGGGCCAGAGCTAAGAGCCTGGCCTGCTTGGGCAGGTCCCTGGGGGATCGGTCCCCCACCCCCAGGGGAGGGGTTTCCACCGCCTTTGCCACAGGAACCAGGCAGATGAGGCCGCCCGTGAGCTGACCGGGGAGAGCCCACCAACTCCAGCTCTTCCCTCTCAGAGGAGTGGGGCCATCCTTGCCCCAGAGGGGCCGGTCTCTTGGGACGGGGACTCTGCCAAGGCATCCATCCCCTCATCCAAACTGTGTCAGGAGCCACCATTCTGCGGGCTGAGCCTGGAGGCTGGCCTCCCGGGCTCCCAGCCCCCGCCTGGCCTGCAGGGCTGGGCTGCGAGAGGGGCCGCTGCTCCTGGTGAGGCCTCTCTGAACTCTCCTAGACAGCCCTCCCGGGCCTGGAGCAGAGCCAGACCTAAATGTAGATGAAGGAGCGCCGCCCACGCAGCCTGCGGCAGCCTCGGTGTTTTTAGAGTGATTTCCTCAGAAGGGAGGGGTGGGTGTGGAGGCCCAGACACCGCTCTGTGCCCACGTGCTGTGTCCTCGTGGGGCACGGCTGCTCCCACCCCACCCTGAACACGCAGAGCTGAGGTTCCCGGGGTCCCCTTGCCAGGGAGGAATCCGAGGTGACCCAGGGCCTCCCGGCCCAGAGCCCTCACCTGGGACCAGCTCACTGTCCCCACAGGCTGGGAGAGCCCCATCTTGCCACCATTCTGTAAGGGTCCTAACAGGCCACAGTGCCCAGCGTCCCTGTGCCACACAGCCTTGTCCTGAAGGCAAGGTGGCCTTCAGAGGAGGGAGGCAGGTTGGCCAGGCACCCTGGGCTGCACAGGAGGCCTGCTCTGTCTGCACAGAACGTCACAAGCAGAGTGGGAAGAGTGTCCCAGGTCCCCCAAGCCAGGGGCCTGGGGCAGGCCTTTCTGCCCTGGGGTCCCTCGGTGCGGCACTCTCCAGGCACAGGTGCTGATAATGACGATGGTGGTGGGGACCTGGTAGTGCTGTGTGGTGAGGGGGCCACCAGGCCCCTTCCGCCCCCAGGCCCCCAGAGCTCAGCTCCTCGTCCGTCCTGGCTCCTGGGTCTGGGCTGCCGGCTCAGCCTTCCCTCCCCTGGGTCTCGCTCACCACAGGCCTCGACGGAGCACCTGCAGCCCTGCGGGTGGCCAGGGATCCCACGTGTGGCCAGACGCGAGGAGACTTTACTAGGAAAGAGGCACTAGGACAGGGCTCCAAGCAAGGGGCCAGGGATGGGGGGAGGGCACTGTCCCGAGGCCGAGGCTGTGGGGCTCCTCTGTGGTCAGGGGCTCCACAGCCTCACAGGGGTCAAGGTTACGACCCACTTAGGCCAATGTGACGCCAGGCAGGAGCCAGGCAACGTCACTCAGTGACAGCCCCGAGAGGTGAGGCAGGGCTGGAGGCTCACCTGGGGACGGAGCCCGTGCCTGGAGGCTGGCCGAGGTGGGCCTCCCGGGGCACCAAGCCCACCAGCAGGGACTTGTCCAGTTTGAGTTCTTCAGTACTAGCTTATGAGGTGGCCTGGGGTGATGAGCACCAACCCCAAATGTCCTTTGACTTTGTCCCTTTCTCTGTCACCACTAGACTCCTGGGAGGTGCCCTGTGGGGTTGGCTGTTGAATGTCCCCTGCTCTAGATACGGGTCTGTGTGTCTGTGTTTCCTGCAGGGGAAGGTCCACCACCCTGTTTTGTCCCTCTGGGGCAGCTCCAGGTACTGGAGCTGAGCAGTCACGGGTGACGGGCTGGGGGGGTCTGATGGCCAGGTCCCCTGCAGGTAAGACTCCACACCTGCCGTGCCTACCCTCCCGTCGTGCCAGTCCTAGGCTGCAAGGACAGCTCATTGACTCTCCCTGCATCCCCTGCGGGCTCTTGTGGAACTCCTGAGCCAAAGATGACCAGGGCAGGGTCGGACCCTAAAGCCTGTGTGTGCTGAGGACCGGGCCTGGGAGGGCCACAGGAGGGTCGCGTCCGTCTCCGACCCCCAGGCCTCCCCTCGGCATCTTGGCCCTGTCTCCCCTGAGAGATGACTCTTTCTCTGTGAGAGGCACAGGCAGGAGCTGCTCTGGGTTCAGGGGGATCTAGGCGTCTTCCAGGAGGCCGCAGCGAGGTCCCCCTGCCCAGCCACAGTGGCCCTGCTCCCAGCCCGGCAGGGCCTGGGGAGCCTGGCAGGCAGAGGAGGCTGAACCCGGTGGTGCACCTGGGAAAGTGGGCCACGGGTCTGCGAGGCTGGGGGAGACGCCGCCATTCCAGGCTGGGGTGGACAGAGCCGCGCTCGGGACACACTGGGGACAGGGGGCTACAGGCCTCGAGGCAGGTGGACGGGCTGGTGGGCGAGGGGCTGGGAGGCGGCCAGTGTGGGCCTGGTGGCCTAGAGTTCAAGGAGGGAGGGAGGCAGATCCCTCTGGGTGGCTCATCCCCCAGAGCAGGGCGCTCTGCAGGGGCTGGCTGGCTGGCCAGTAGAGCCCATCTGCACGGCCACATGGTCTCTGGGGGAAGGCAGCCCAGCCCTGTCAGGACAGATTGTCCCAGTAGCTGGTGCTTGTGTGGCTGTCGTGGGACAGGGTTGGGCTATCTATCGGCCCCGACACCTGCCCTGCAGGCTGCTCTCAGGAGAGCTAAGGCAGGCCCTCTTCCCTGCTGGGGGACCCAGGAACTCTCCAGGCCACACCTCCAGGCTCATCCCACAGGCACATCTGGGTGGCTCTCTTCCCTCCCCCAAGGGTCTTCAAGCACCTACTGTCCTCGTGAGTGTCAAAGCCAAGTCAGGGCTGTGACCAGGTCTGCTGATGAGGAGACGGGACCACCGGGAGCAGTCCTCTGGGAGCCTTGTAGGCATGGGTCTCGGCCCCGTCCGGAGCTCCTTTACCACTTGTGACCCCTGCTGAGCTGGACCGTCCTGACCTGGCCTGGCCCCTGTCCCCAAAGACAGCAAAGTGAGGGATGATCCGCGGATGCTGGCCAGGTGGAGGGGGCGGGGGAGATTAATTAGTTCTCGTTAGCCGGGAGTCAATTTGCAGGCCTTCAATGAGAGCTCGATAAGAGAAGGTTGTTGACAAATTGGAGGAGATTCCAACCAAACATGGCAGCTCTTGAGGCACAGAGTGAGGACAGGTGCAGGGAGCGTCCACTCTGCGGCTCCCTGGCCAGGTGGGGCTCATGA